GGCTGAATCAGGGCAAGGTTGACTAATGCCTCTGCAGTGACATAGCTGGTACCCTAGGATTCAAACCCAGGCAGCTTGGTGTGAACGTGCTTGTATTAGAGCCGCTGGCTGGCAAATGAGTTCTCCAGTAAGTTTACACAAGCCACAATACAAATCAACTGCCTGGCAAGTGGTTGGCATGCCACAGGCTAATATCCTTCCTCTTGACTGGTAGCTTAGCTTCCCAGTAACTGCCTTCCTTGTAGCCATGCTGCCTGCCTCCTTCTGTGCTAGTCTGTGGGTATTCTTGACTTCACATCCCCACTGGTCAGGGTGACTTCTCTCTCTCTGTTTTACCTCTGTAACTGCCATTTGGATGCTCAGAGCAAACCAAACAGATGCGGCTGGCTGGAGAAGGACCAAATGTGGTACTTCCGGGAAAGCCATCTCTCTTCTCTCCCTCTCAGCATGCTTGTGACTCAGAAGTGACTCAGAAGTGGCTTCTAACAACACAGGGACTGTGCAGAGCTGCAGAGGGACTTAGTGGCCAGTGGAGTTGCCCGAAGCATTCCCCAAACCCAGTTATTGAGACAGAGCATCACGCCATGACTGGCTGTTTAGAATGGTCTTTGTTGTGAGTCTATTTGAAGCTTGGGATCAGAGACATCAGTTAGGGGAAAGATCCAAGGCTTGAGTCTGTTCTTGTCCCTGAATGAGAAATGGTCTTGAGGCCAGCTGCGAGGCAGGACAAGACTTCTGAGAGCTTGTCTGACCATGGCTGGGATGGCCTAAGGATCAAAGATCTAAGACTTTGGTAAACACTGTGTCACAAGGCAATGTTAAGCCCTTTTCTGTTTAATAAGATCTCCAATCTCTTTCAACCTGATTTTAAAAGAGAGAAAGAGATATTCGATTCCACATAGGCAGTGGCCCAGGACTGGGTGGTTCCAGCACCCAGGAATCTGAGATGGGAGGGCTGATGAATCTGGGCACCCATCTTTAAAAAGGGGGAGGAGATAAAATATGGATGTGGCAGTGCAAGTTAGCAATCCCAGCACTTGGTGGAGGGCCTCACACAGGAAGACTGTTAAGTCTGAGGTCAGCCTGGGAATATAGTAAGACATTGTCTCAAAAGTATAAGAAAATGGGGCGTGTGACATAGCTCAGCAGATACAGGCCCTTGCTGTGCAAGCCTGATCTTCTGAGTTCTGTCACGGGAACCCACAGAAAAGTGGAAGAAGAGAACCGACCCCACAGAGCTGTTCTCTGACCTCCACGTGATCAAGTGTCATGGCATATGCAGGCTCTCTCCCTCGCTCTCTTAGCTCTCTCTCATTCATCGTCTCTCTTTTGCACATGATAAATAAAATATAAAAACGGACTGAGGAGCCATTAAGGGTGGGTAGAGATAGAAACACGTGCCAAATATAACAAAATGTGCACGATTATGGTGTTCACTGCACAATTCTTTCAACTGCTTTATATGCTGGGAGCCTTTCGAAAACAGGTAAAATGCAGATATCTGTATGAATGGTCACACTCAAAAAACAAGTTACTTCCTTTGAACCATGAATGGAAGCCCTCTTTCCTCCTCCCACCCCCTACTACTTCAAATCTCCGTACTCCTTCCCTAAGCAAGTGCTCCTTGCGTGAGCTAGCCAGGGGGCACCTGCTCCTGTATAGCACAGGCTTTATTTCCTTCCTGGCGTATAATTCTCACAATAACCCTACACACTAATTACTATTTTCTGTAGTTTATGAGGAAAGCCAAAGCTTGAGAGGGCTGACTCAGGTAATCACGTTACCCTTACAGCACTGACGGTGACCTTCCTTCGTGGCCTTGTGCCATACTCTCCATGTTTGAAGCTGCTGTGCCTCACCCAGCCTTAGGAGGTGGTCCCATTACTAACTATCCTCAACCTACACAGTTGGAACAGGAACTTTAGAGAGCTTCAAGAAGGCATCCCAACTTTCTCTAGGGATCAGTAAATGACCTTGGCCTATGTTTGGACCTAGCCTTTTCTACCTCAGAGCCCTTCTGCCCCCTATTACTCAAACCCAGGCCTGGCCTGTGTTTGCCTGATTTAGTAACCCCTCAGCTGGAGGCCACGAGCTCCTGCAGGCAGAACATCCACTCAGCGCTATGCCCTCCTTATGTTCAGAATAGCTCCTAGCATGAGGACTATTGCTGAATGAAGGGAGGGCATGGGGTCTGCAGCATCTCAACGTTCACAGAAGTGCTCTTTCTGGGCACAGTTTGACTTAGCCCATGGAAGAAGAGATGCTTTTTTTTTTTTGTTTGTTTTTTGATGTAACGTATGGGCCTGAGGCTCCTGAGATGGACAGTAGGGGGTTATGAAGGACCTATTTGTGATACTCAGGTCTCCATCACTGGACCAAAATGTGTGAGATGGCTTATGGAGGGAAAAGGTTTTTTTTTTTTTTTTTTTTTTAACAACATTTATTCTGTATGGGTGCCTATGAAGGTCAGAGGACAGCTTTTGGGAGTCAGTTCTCTTCTTCCATCATGCAGGCTCCAAGACTGATCTCAGGTCATCTGGTTTGGCATCAAGTGTTCTTGCCCTCTGAGCCATTTCACTGGGCCAGGGAAAGAGTTATTTTTACTTCAGTCCCTGATAGGTTTGACCCATTGCTTTGGGTCAGTGGTGAGGCAGCAATATTTTTACATGGCAGAGTAAAAACAGTTTATCCTGTGGCCAGGAAAGAGCAAGAGGGAAGGGCTGTGGTCCCACAATCCCCTTTGAGATTGTAGTCATAGTGGTCTAAAGACCCCCACCTGTACCCTATCTCTTAAAAGCTTTACCATCTCCCGAACAGCCCTGCCTTTAGAGCCAAGCCCTCATCTCATGGGCATCTGGGAGACATTCATGATCCAACCATCTTAGCACATCCCCTTCACTGTCCCCCAAGCTCCTCAAGAAGAGCAGAAAGGTATCATACACTGCCAACAAGTAATGGAAACCAAACCCACATTTTTAAACATTCTAGTGGCCAAGACTGCCCCCCCTTCATGGCCACACTTGTCTTATGGCTGCTGCAACGAGCAGGCAAACGCTTAAAATTAGTCATCTTGAATGTGCCCAGGCATCCTCACGTGGACTGAGTGCTTTGTTTACCCAGTTCTGTATCTTTTTCTCCTCCCAGTAGCCTGGCATGCACTGGGCGCAGGTGTGGCGGGCTCCTGTTTGGAGGAGAGGTTGTCATTTGCCTTGCACACTCAGTTCATAGCGGCAGTGGGGTCTTCGGCACTCTTGTCCACCACAACATCTTCTGTGTCAATACTGTAATTACACAGCAAGTTCTGGGGATGATAGCAACAGATGGATATGTGTGTGTTTGTGTTTGTGTGTGTCTGTGTTGGTTTTCTCGAAACATGGTCCTGTACTTCACCAGTCAGTTTCTTTAGAGATCAGATTTTCCAATCTCTGATGGAAAAAACCGAACCAAACCAAACCAAACCAAACCAAACCAAACCAAACCAAACCAAACCAAACAAGACACAAAAAACCAGCCACATGTAGTAAAGGAGGTTGTGAAGGTTCAGAATTGAAAAAAAAAATTTAAAAACATTTTTTTTTTAAATGAGTATGGGTTTTTTGCTTGTATATATGTCTATATACCATGTACATGCCTGGTACCCAAGGAGGCCAGAAGAGGGCACTGGATCCCCTGGGACTGGAGTTACAGACAATTGTAAGCTGTGGAGTGGCTGCTAGGAATCCAACCTGGGTTCTCAGGAAGACCAGCCAGTACTCTAAACGACTGAGCCATCTTTCCAGCCCCTATTCATCTTATTTTTTAAGGTTTATTTACTTAAAAAATTTTGACATTCATTGATTTTGTGTGACGTGTGTGTGTGTGTGTGTGTGTGCTGTGCTGTGGTGCGTGTGTGGAGGGCAGGCTGCAAATTTTGGGAGTGGTTCTTTCCTTGTACTTGTAGGTCCCAGGGGTTGAGATCAGTAGGGCTTGGTGGCAAGGAAGTACCTTTACATAGTGAGCCATCACACCGGCCCTGATAAAAGCAGTTTTAGAGTGCCTTTTCTTTTTCTATGTTTGGCAGAGGGGTGCCTAGAAGGCTGAAAGGCAATGCTAGGGCCAAGTCTACGGCATTGAATATGCCGGGCAGGTACTGTACCATTGAGCCACGCCCCTAGCCCCAATATTAAGTAAAGATGTTTAGAAGGCTGTGATAATGTTGACCCATTTTCCATAAGTTAAATGTCATCTCATTTGACCACACTCTCTAAAAATGGCACGCGTTACCTCATTGCCACATTATTCTGGTCCTCACAGCGTTTGCTGCCACTTATTATGTTTTTTTTTTTTTTTTTTTTTTTTTAATTGCTTGACTGAATTCTCTCACCAGAAGGTAAAAATTGCTGCGAGGGCGGGGACTTGTCTGCTCTTCTCCCCTGGAACCCTAACAGGTAGAACAGTGCCTGCCAAAAATTACAGTCTGTTGAATGAATGACAGTGGAATGTTGTAGAATGACACAAAATTCGGTGTGAACCGAACGACTGAAGAGTTTGCTGGCTACGTCCCTGCCTTTCAGTAGAGGGGTCTCCTGGTTTAGCTTTTCCGTACCTGGTCCCGGCTGGTCTGCAAAGCTTCCCTGCCCATCAGCTTACACCTTGGTGAAGTGGCGGACACGGGTCACTGTCTGGCACCCGGTGCTTCTGTTTTGTGCCAGCTGAGAGCAGAGCTGGGGGTTTTTCTGTGCACTATTGTGTGTATAGGACCAAGCACCGCGCCGGACCCACCCAGAAGTGCTTGCTGAGAAAACGAAAGAAACAGTGAATGAGTACTTCAGAGGAAGGTCAAGTCTCTTAGGGACCACTTGCACCCTCTCCCCAACCTAACACGAGCCAAGCCTCTCCAGAGACGAGAAGGAAGGAAGAGGTTGCATCTCCACTCCAGGGAAGGAAGAAGGGCAAACCTAGGCTCCAGATCCGGTTCCATGCCATGTTTTGGAAGTCGTGTTTACGTCTGCCTTCATCCTCATCCCTTCCGCTTCAGCACGAGCAAAATTATAACCCTGCACACTGACTTGCATGCCATTATCACAGCCTGGGTGCTCCTGCGTTGAGGGACTTCGCCCCCGGGACCGCTGACTGTCTGTGAACGACAAATCCAAAGTCAAGGGTTGCAGAGGCAGCCGGACTTTCCTGCTCTCTGGCAGCAGAGGGAGGACACAGAGAATGAAAGATTCCGAAAATAAAGGTAAGGGGCTGACAGCAGAGGGGTGGCTAAGACACCCGGGGAAGATGTCGCAACGTGAATGTGCCTAGTTTGTGCTGATGGCCGATTTGATCACTAACGTGTATTCGTAAATTTTTAGTTATGTAATATATGTCCTCTTTAAATGACTGTTCTCTAAATTCCGTGTCATTCAGTTTTCCATTTTTTTTTTTGCAGCACTACACACACACATATATGTATATATATTTTGTATTCCTTATTTAATCTTGGCTGACTACGCATCTCACAGTTTCCTTTATAATCGCTTCCAGAATTCTGATACTTTAATTTTTTTTGGGGGGGGCGGGGGTGTTTACAATTGTTAATCATTAAAATGCAAGCTTCAGGCAGTTATTGGAAATAGCTGGAGAACTTGATACTTAAAACACAGTTCGGGGTTTCTAGAGAGGCACTGACTGAGGATCTACAGAGGAACGGGGGAGCGGGGGAGCGTTCATCTTTTCCGCGAGGGCTCAGCAGGGAGTCGTCGCCGCTGACCTTCAGAACTGTTTACCTTGCACGGGGATGTGAGGATGCAAGCTCCCGCCCGCAGCTCCTCCCCGCTCCCCCCCCCCCCCCCCCCCCCCCCCCCCCCCCCCCCGTACCCCACGCGCCTCAAAAAAAAAAAAGGAAAAAAAAAAAAAAAAACAACAAAAACCCGCCGGCACGAATTCTTGCGGAGGGGAGGGCAAGGACAGAAACAAATTGAAGAGAAAAAGCCTCCCCACCCCCCCCTCCGAAACCCCAAGGACTCTGGAGGATTCCGGGGTTCAAGGCTGAGGCCCTGGCAAATTTCTGCAGCATCAGGGGATGGGGGAGGGGGGGGAGCCCCCCCCCCCCCCCGAGTACACGTGGTTCAGGGTCGCGCTTCCTTCTGCACCCTCGATTCTCTAGCTCCCGGTGCCCGCGGAGGGGCCTCGCGTGGCCGGGGACAGGCCGCCGTCTCCGCAGCTGCTCGGCGACCCCCGCGACCCCCCGCGACCCCCCGCGAAGCCCCCCCCCCCCCCCCCGAACCACGCACTTTTCCCAGTCCCGAGGGTGCGCAGGTGCCGGGAGGTGGGGTGCCCTAAGCCGGGTAGCCGGTGTGGCTTTCGCCATAGGAGTCTGACCTCCGGCTGGTTAGAGTCCCACCAACACCCCACCACCGGGGTGGACGCCAGGGGCGAGGCTGGCTTTGCCATCTACCGAAAGCAAGGCAGCGTCTTTAATGGATCCGGGCTGCTCTAAATCGCGCGGCTTTAGGAGGGACAGGGTGGGGCCTCGGGTTGTTGGCTGGCTCAGCGGCTGTGGGCCCTTCAGGTTCTCTCATTGATCCTTGCGGTTTTGGTGTTTAAATTTTAATTAAGCAGTCCCAGGGAGGAAGAAACAGCTGTGGGAGGCCCTGGAGAGAGCGAAGAGGACGGTTCACTCTTGTTTCCTAGCCCGCCGCCGCTCGTGGACAAATAATTCCTGTGGGGTCAAAGTATTCAAAATCCCCAAAGGGGGCTTTTCCTTGCTGTTTGCAGTGGCTGGAGAAAGGGTTAATGGAGAAAGAGGACGGAAAAAAAAAAAGTCTATTTGTCAAGTCATGCTAGGCCATGGGCATGACTTAGAAACGATTAAAGCTGTCTGATTCACAGGCTCAGGCCCAGGTCAGAGCTCACCAGTGTTTAGGACAGAAATACTCCCGATCTCAGCATGTCAGCACGTTTTAAGCTTCAGGTCTCCCTGCTCTTTTTGATGAGAGCTGGTATTTGGAATTCTGTATCAATTTGTGTTGTAAAGAGCCCGGGCTGGCAAATCCAAACGCGCAGGTTTCTGGTGTGTTCAGCCGTCTCTCAGCAGAGCCCCGGGTGACTCTTGATTTCCTTGGGTTACAGTTTCTTGGACTCCCAAGCGGAAGGAAGCTAGATGACATCAGTGCTTTTTCAGATTGTGAGGGACTGGATGCCTCGGGACCAGCATTCCGGACAGGCACGGTAGAATAAATTCATCCTAGGAACCATTGCAGGCGTGTGACCAGCTTGCTTTCTACAGCTTCTGTTTCTGACGTTTATGTTTGTGTGCGCAGACATGTGGGCTGTGTTCTGTCATCGGGTCTATGCTCTTTGAGTCCTAGCCGAAACATACCGAAGAGTGATGAATCAAGCCATAGCTGACTAATCAGAGATTCTGTGAGGTGGAAGCATATGTGCATGGAGGCCCTCTCCTTAGAGAGAAAGATAAAGCCAGCTGTCTCCCTCTGCTTTGCAAACAGGTCATGAATTAATGTATTTTTAGGGTCCCCTAAGAGTCTTTTGGGCCAATTTCTTTTTGTGTTGGGAGATGGGGGTCTGTGATGAGGAGTAGATTGTGAGACAGTTTGTGAGGTGAGTATGTACACACACACACACACACAAAAACACACATGAATGCACACAGAGAACAGTAGAGAGAGTGTACGCACGTGTCCACCAGACCAGGAAAGCTGTTTCTGGGAAGCAAAGTACCAGTTGTTGACCTGAATATGAAGTAAATGTACCAAAACATGTACCAAATGTACCAAAAATGATGAAAAGGACTGCTAAAAACAAACAAAACAAAACAAAAAAAACCCAAAATGTAGGAAAATTTCAGATGACAACTCTCCTTGCAAAGACTAATCAAGAAACCAGGCGACGTTGCAAGAGGTTGGTGGAGCCGGTGTGTGTTGGCAGAACTTGAACTTTAATGGGCCACTGTGTCATGAACAGTGTTCAGGAAATGCTGCACTGTGGTTTAATAACGGCCTTCCTTTCTTTGTCCTGTTGCCCGTGCGTCTTAGCCCAGTGAGGTTGTCGACCACGAAAGGCCTCTTATAACTTAGGCCCCTTTTATTACTTTATTTCAATCAAAATGCTTTGCAAGCCAGGAAGAAATCATGTGTATAAGACAATTAAATTAAAATGGTTGAATGAGATACAGAGAAACAACAACAACAAAGTTGAATGAGTTAACCCAGGTCTTGACCAGTGTGGCCGATAACTTTAGTAATAAATATCCCAGAGCCTATTTAATGAGCGATGAGTTTGTGAAGAGTTGTGTGCTCAGGCCCAGGTCTTTTCACCTCAAAAACCACTTCTCAGGTAGGTAGGGGATTGCAGACAAGTCGCGCCATAAAATGAGCTTTAGAATAAAATTGCATATGGGGCTGGAGAGATGGCTCAGCAGCTAAGTGCATGTATTGTCCTTGCAGAGAACCTGAGTTTGACTCTCAGCACCCATGTCAGGCAGCTCACAACTGCCTGTAATTCCAGCTCCAGGGGATCTAATGCTCTCTGACACACACACGCTTGCATCAATAAGTCATAAAAAAAATTCAAAGATGATAAAATTGCCTATATTAGTATTATAATTAATTCATCTTGTATTAAAAAACAAAAAGGAAAGACAAACCTTAGAAAATAAAATAATGGCTTTTGACTAATTTTCTGGTTTGTTTGAAAAATAGACATGGTAAAGTCTGCGAATTATCAGTAAGGCCTTAGAGGCAAAGATCTGACAGAACAAGAGAGGAGAACTTTGGGAAAAAAAAAAAAAGGAGTGGAATTTTTTTTGTGTATAAAAGACAGAGAAACTATTTCTCCTGCAAAGTTTCTGTATTCTGAGGGACTTTAATACTACAACATTGTGTGAGCAGATGAGGCTAACACTGAATGTGCTGAGAGCATGGTCTGGGCAGGTTCCTGAAAACACTTCGGGAATCTGAGTGTTCTCAATAGACGATGCTGCGGAATCAGGTTGGGATTTGAACAAGGTCAGACCCAGACTTTCAGACCTCACATATGAAATACATTCTCTATCTTCAATCAAAAAAAAAAAGTATAAAGAAATGTTAGTTTCTGTTTCCCTTAATCGTCATGACTCCTTTGATATCTTCAGAGAAAACACATATGCTTTTAACTTTTTTTTTTTTTTTTTTTTTGGTCATGGCTGCTTTTGCATGGTTGGCTGAGTGAAATGCTATTTTTGCAGGAAGGGCCTGTGAATATCATGAGCTTTCTCAGGGGTCCGGGGCACTTGTTAAGACAGATTAGAAATTTGCTCATGCCAGTGGTTATCGATGGAAACTGGATGCTCACTTGAAATCTGCAAGTAGGTTTTTCATTTGGTAGCATTCAGGGGCAGAAAGAAACCAGAATTGTTTGGGTTAGCTTGTGTGATCTGTAACTTTCAAACTTTCACTTTGTTGAAGAGGTGAAACACTATAATTTCCGAGCCTAGAATGTGTATACATACATACATACATACATACATACATACATACATACATACATACATACATTCTATACATACATACATTCTATGCATACATATACACACATATGTATATCCACTGATCCTAGAAGTTTATTTATTTTTTTAGAAGATTTTATTTGTTTATTTTATGTATGAGTGCTCTATCTGCATGTACACCTGGATGCCAGTAGAGGGCATCAGTTTCCAGTATAGATAGTTGTGAGCCACTATTTGGTTGCTGGGGATTGAACTTAGGACCATGGGAAGAGCGGACAGCGCTCTTACCAGCTGAGCCATCTCTAATCCTGGAAGTTTATAAAAGTATTTATAAGTGTACTTATAAGTATAAGTAAACCTATGTATACGTACATAAACTTCTAGGATTAGCCGGATGTGGCCAGCCTAGTCTGCAAAGCAAGTTTTAGGACAACCAGGGCTACACAGAGAAACCCTGTAATCAAAAATACAACCTCCTCTCAAAAAATAGATTTTCAGGATTAAAGGTGCTATTAAATCTACAAAAGTTCATATCACTTAATGCTGTTCCAGAATAACTCATCTAAAGCATATTGGCATTTTGCAGGACAGTGGGAAGAAACTGCAACACAATTTATCGTTCTCATTCGGTCGACATACAAGTGCAGATACCTGCCTCCATTGTAACGTGGCTCTGCCTGCGTGTTTATACATTACAAATCACACATATTATAACTAATGCCATTCAATCTCTGCTTGCAATGCATACG